TCAGGTGGTCCAGCAACAGTAGTGGCACTTTTGCCTGACCTGCTTTGAGTGAAATAAACAAGATAACTGCTTGATTTTTAGGATAAAACAGCAATTGTTCAAGCAATATCTCCTGAACATCATCTGCATTGTAACACTGATTCTGCTCACATTTTTTCAAATGAATCACAAGTTTTCATGGTGGCTGCCATCAAACGCTTTGCAGAACCCTTTGAGCTTTGTAAGAGACAAGCTCTCTTTGTCTCAGCCAGCAGTGGTGGTCAGGTGCTGCATTCAGCTCTGAGGAGGCAGGTGTCTGGTTGGTTGGTTGGTTGGTTGGTTGAACCTGGCAGCTCACCTTTCTGTGGCGGGGTAGAATTTCAACAGAAGGTATCCGACATCAAGAAGGAAAAGGCAGAACTGGAGAACTCCTTCAAACACATTGTTTTATTATAAGCACCAAAGCCACTGATAATACAGTAATGCACTTAAATATTTTCATTGGAAATTTGTGATATGTTTATTAAGGGTATTGCTTAGTCTCATCAGTTTTATTCCCCAAATTTGTTAGCATAATATGTTTTACACTATAAAAAAACGTTTGTTTTTCAAACATTTTCTCACAAGTTTTTGTGTATAAAGTTTGAAATGTATGAGGACACTGAGATTTTTATTGTTAGACACACGATTGTATAAACATTACATAAAAATTAGAAACGCCAGCTTTTTATATATGTTAAGTTTTGTTTTTTGTACAAGTTTGGGACATTTTTATTTTAGCTGCCGTTTTACTTCATCTAAAAGACTGAGGGTCAAGACTGGGTTTAGAATTTCACACAAGGATTTATGTCAGGGTTAGGTCAAGGGGTTACGCAGGGCATTGTGTCAGAGAATGTCCTCACAAAGACACCTTTATATGTGTTTTATGTCTTAAAGTAAATTTTAATTTTAAATGCAATATAATTTTGTCAAAACAGATGCAAATATTCACTCAAGCTTATTGTATTCTTGTATTGAAGAATAAACTATTGGAATCACTGTTCAAACTACAGTTTAATCTGTAAAATATGTGTACAAGAGTTGCCTGTGCCAAGTTTAAATATCTAATGAACGTATCAAAACACAAAGGTAATCAGTTTAATGTAAAAAAGAGTTTTTTGTATTGTGCAAAACTCATAAAAAATTAACCATAATCTTTATTAAAAGACAGTTCAGTTCTTGGTAACACTTTCTTTTATGGTACCCTTATTACCATGTAATTACAAGGTAATAAAAATATAATTAAATGTAATTACTACTTTATTACCATGTTATTACGTGGTAATTAGGGTACAGTTTTACTATGTAATTGTCTGCAGTAATGTAGCACTTGGTAATGTATTACAATTCACAATGYAACACCTAAATAAGTAGTAGGTAATTTGGACAGTTTTAAAGTTTTATTTTATTGCAATTAACCACTAACCCCAAAATTTAGTTGCATCCTTTTGGTTATAAATAGTGTTGAGTTACTATTGAATAGTAATTTGATTGTAGYTACCCAATAAAGGTAGTTTTACTAACAGTAGTTTTTCTTTTGTACCCTAATTACCACGTAATTACATGGTAATAAGGGTACCATTAAAAAAAAAACATTACCCAGTTCTTTTGGGTATGCTGTGCAAAAACAGTATAGTTCTGAAATGTTTGTAATAGTTTTAATACAATACTAATACTTTTTTGGACATTGTAAAAAATACACTAGAAAGAGATTGTGTGCATCCATGCCTTAGTGTAGGGGGTAGGCTCAAAGTGAATTAAGCCTTTCTACATATCTCTCATAAACAAGGTTATGAGGAAAGTTTTACCAAGGTATTTTCTCATTTCCACATGACACGTCACCCGTAACACATCAGTTTTACCTGGTGATAGCTTCTTAACCAAACCCTGGGTAGTCACTGCTTCACCTCCGATCAGTCAGGGAACTTTTTAATCGGCCCACTCACTGTTCTTCGGCGAAAAGGTGTTATTTCGGACAACTTTTCGTCTGTTTCGATCCTCACCAGAAAGATTCAAGCTGATGCATCCGGTTCCTCCTTTCAAAATAAAATCTCCCCTCGGGAGGTAAAACACTTGGAAACTTCCAGTCTCGGGTGGGACAGTCGGCGGCGTGYCGCTGTCCYGGCCGTTAGATCTCCCTAATTGGCTTATGGGCAAGACCTAACGAGCCAAGCTGGCTTCTCCGGAGAGAAACTCAGCCTTCCTTCCCAGTTTGGCATCCAGGAAGAAGTGTTCCGTCACTCAAAGGCGTCCGTGTTAGTAATCGAAGCGGACGACTTTGGTTCCGCCCTCAGGCTTAAGATGAGTCAGGAAAAAGAGGAAAGATAAGACTTGCTAGCCAGGCGCCAGCCAAGGTTAAATTCTGTGGTTATTCACAGCAGAATATGATAACATTTCTTTTCAACTTTTCTTCTGATAGACTCTAAGAGAAATCACTGCAAAACATTTATGATGATTAATTAACATTTCTGTTTAAGTAATCAGTCTGAACCATTCTGTTATTCCAGATAAATGAAAGATTTTCTCAGGAAAAATTCACAATTATATTACTGTGTTCCCAGTAAAATAAAAACAGTGATTTATTCAAAAACACAATGAAAACATGGTAATGATTTTCTCTGTGATTTTTTTTTACCATTAATTAATCTTTTAGGCATGATAAAAGAGTAGAAGTGATTCCACTTCCTTGTGACAGTCATTATTATGATTTAACAAATGCATAAACATTCTTAGTTAAACAACAAATGAATCATGAACAGAAAAGATTGTTCTGTCCATTATCTGATTAAGAGACCTGAGAAATTCTCCTAGGGTTGAAATGACCTGTCACGGCCTAAATAGAGTTCAGTTTGTGACAGAGTTCCTGCCTTCTCAGTAGGCCTTTCCGAGGCCTGCTTCGAGGCAGTAAATCTTGTTTCTTCACTCGAGGTGACCCCTACATTAGCATTGGTCTTTTTTTTCTTTTTTTATCTTATCTCCTCAACCTGATCACCTGTTTCTCTTCTTGCCTGCTGGGATTGAGTTGCCCGGCCTGCACATTTAATTCTGCATTGCCTGCTTTCTTTTGAAGCTGTGTAAAGTGAAGTGTGAGCCCGTGTGCTGACCCTTTCTTTGGCATTCCAGCCATTCCCCTGGTACCTGGGAAAGGGTTCTGCTCTCCTCAAACGGGGTATTTTTAGTCCCAACGAACAGCTGGCTGTGTTCCTGTCTGCATAAGGAGCACAAATGTCTGACTAAAAAACGTGGTGAGGCTGACGTGCCCGCACACCCTTTAGTAGCAGTTCTGCTGCCTCAGTCTGGATTATTATGCAACGACAGTTGTAGTTTTGTGTAATTACACCAGGGATGGGTGTGAGGTGATGGTGTTGTTGGGGTTAAATCTGCTTACCTGGCTGCATGATACGACTTGTCTCAACAACTTCTTTTAACTGTGGTTTTCAGACATTTTAATGGTGCGTAGTCATGTTGTCCTTATGTGTGTGTTTGACAAATGAATATCAGATTAAGGAACCAGTTCTGCTGGAGTGGAGAAGCAAATCAGAGCCCCACGATGTTAGCAGTTGGTTCTGAGATGTTCTTATTTTGAACATAAGCCATATTTGATTAAAGTGATTTATGCATAAACAATCTTCTACAGAAAGGAAATATAGATTTTTCTTATGTGAAATATATAAATAAAAACTATAAATGTTGCATCATACTGAAAGTTCAGTTAGGTAAGACATAGTAGAATATGTGTCCTTGTTATTGCTGATCCCAAATAAAGTACGGCCAGTCACACAAACAAATTCTTCCTTTACCACAACCCCAAAAAAAAGCTAACATGCGGCAATCACAAGACTCCAGTTATCCTCACAGGATCAATTTTAAAGTCAGTGAATTTTCTCAAAATCAACTTAGTGCAGGAAAACATTCAATTACAGTGGGTAGATAGGAGCAGAAAGCATACAGGTGCTGGTCATAAAATTAGAATATCATGAAAAAGTAGATTTATTTCAGTAATTCCATTTAAAAAGTGAAACTTGTATATTATATTCATACATTACATACAAACTCATATATTTCAAATGTTTATTTCCTTTAATTTTGATG